TACTAATATATATCTATTGTACTATTCTGATATAAAAAAAGAACTGGTGATATTCTAAAACTAATTGTAGATCTTCATCATCATTTTCTGGCTTAACATTTTCTGCTTTTATCTTGTCAAGATTAAATGTTGTTAAATCAAGATCACCAGATTGATAATTAACAGGTACTTCTGCTACACCAAAAATAATGTAAAATATTACACAAAATACAGCTGCTACAACAAGGAAGATCAATGCAAAAATAAAGGAATATACTATTTTTTTAATATATGATGTATCTTCTTCTTGGTTATACCAACACAACCCAAATGGTAATATAATTGCTGCAAATGCAATCATTCCATAATAAACTATATACCAGAAAATTTGCATTGGTATTATCGGTTCAGGTGGTCCAGCATTAAGTACATCTAATGGAATTAAGAATACACTCATTTCTAAAAACTCAAATGCAATAATTACAATAATTCTCCATATCCAACTCACTCCTTTCTCTTCAGGATTTTGGAAATATACCATCATATAAATATTACATATAAGAAGTAAAATTGGTATTGCACATAATAAAATGATAACGATGATGTTAATCATTTGTTACTATTTATTTTATTTTTTTTCTTTTTTTTTATTTTTTCCTTTTTTATTTTTAGATTATTTTATAAAATAGTATTTTTATTAAAAGAAATTAAACTCATATTTAGTTTCTCTCAATATTCTAAATAAATCTTATTAAAAAAAAACAAAAAAAAAATATATCACAAAAAATAATAAAATGTTAAACAAAAAAAAAAATAAACAATTACATAATGATTAATAATGTTATAGAAGTAAACACCTTTTCTTCTTTTCTTCTGTTTCATTTAATTTGTATTGTGGATGATGAAGTTCACGATCTTCTTCAAGAGTATTTTATAATGTGATTTAATAATTAATTCATATAGAATAATACTCAATAAAAGAATAATGAATTTCCTTATAAATTCAGTTAGAAATAATTCAAAATATCATATATAAATTTCACTAAATGAACTTAAAAATGCATTTTTCAATAAAAAGAAATGGAATTTATTGGCACAGAAAACCAAGTATTTGGTGAATACCAACAATTGTTTAATAAATTAGTCCAATACAGAACGAAGTCAAAAGGGTATAGTACTGAATTACCAAGTAAAATAATTATGTTTGTTTATTACATTTAAAAAACAAAAAAAAAATATAAAATAAACCTCAATTTTACTTATTTAGAAAATTATGCAATGAAGTCTTAAATGAAATATCAAAAGAACCAATTGTAATACAATTAAAAACACCAATAACAATCGTTGGAGATATTCATGGACAGTATTATGATTTGTTAAGAATTTTTGAGAGTAGTGGATATCCTAATGAAACACCTTATTTATTTCTTGGTGATTATGTTGATAGAGGAAAAAATAGTATTGAAGTAATCACTTTACTCTTGCTTTACAAATTAAAATATCCTCATTCAATCTTCTTATTAAGAGGAAATCATGAAGATGAAAAGATTTGTCGAATGTATGGATTTTTTAATGAATGCTCAAGATTTAAAGATTATCAAAATGAAATTTTTAAATCTTTCATTCAGGTATTTGATCAATTACCTATAGCTGCTGTTATAAATAATAAAATTTTTTGTGTTCATGGAGGACTTTCACCAGATTTAATTACTATTCAAACGATTAAAACGATTAAAAGACCAATTAAAATTCCGTTACAAGGATTATTATGTGATTTATTATGGTCAGATCCACATGATCTTCCTGTTGATGGATGGATGAAAAACCAAAGAGGAATGAGTTATACATTCGGAAAAAACGTTGTAGAGTCTTTCTTAAAAAAGAATAATTTTGAAGTAATAATCAGAGCACATCAAACAATGAATGGTGGATATAGTCTTAGTTTTAATAAACATTTAGTAACACTTTTTTCATGTCCAAATTATATGGGAACAACAGAAAATTCAGGGGCAATCCTTTATTTTAATAGTTCTTTACAAGGAACATTTAAAGTATTTAAACCAATATCAAAATAATAAAAAACGTTAAATAATAAAACTTTTTTTAATTAATCTTTCATTCAAATAAAATATTTTCCATAGAATTTTTGTAAAAATTTTATACAAATTTGAATACTTCAAAATTTGTAAAATATTATTTGAATATTATTTAAATTTATAATGAAAAACGTTAAAATAAAATATTTGTTTGTATATAATCAAATAATTAAATTAACTTCAGAATAAGAAGTTATTAATTTAATTTCTTCAATAAAAATTAATTTTTATCAAAGAATTTATTTTTAATACAAATAAAAAATAAATAATATTAAAATAAAAATAAAAAAAGAGAAATTTTAAAAAGAAATAATTATTTTAATTACATTATATTCAAATGGAACCTTTATTGATTATAGTTTCAACATTTAATGCAGTTTGATAACCATTAATTAATTAAGAAAATAAGTAATAAAAAATAAATAATCAATTAATTTAGATTTTTAAGTTAGTTGTTATTTCAGTTGCAGGATTTTTAGCAACTTACACAGCCCATTTTGATACAACAATAAGACGTGGATATTCTACTTTAGTTTTTCAATACTTCGTTCCTGCAATCATTTTTACTCAAACAGCAACTTCAGTAGAACGTATAAATACTTTGGCAGATTGGTGGTATTTACCAATAAGTGCAATACTAATAAATGGACTGGCTTTTCCATCTATTTTCTTTGTTGCAAAAATATTTAAATTAGATAGACTAACAACAAGAGTATTTGTCTATGCTATCTCTTTTGGAAATACTATGTATATACCACTCGCATTGGTTGATAGTATTACTTCTGAAACTACTCTTTTTGGTTTAAATGGAAAAGATAGAGGTGGTGCATATATTTGCACTTTTTTATTAATGTCTACATTGATTTACTGGGTATTTGGATATTCATTTATTCAGAAAAATCAAATAGAAACAGAAAATATAGAAAACGATGAAAATATTGTTATTACTGCTACTACTCTTAATAATGATAGTTTGATAGAAGAAAATAAACAAAACGAAGATGTTATTAATACTTTTAAAGCAGTTCTTAATGACAAACAACCTAGTGAAGAATATGAAATGAAAGAAGAAATAAAAAATAATGAAATTAAAGAAAATGAAAGTACTAGCAATGATAATAAAAAAAGTCAAAGTTCTTTTGAACTCACTACAAATGACCCTTCTAAAATAGAAGAACATAGTATTATTAATGACTCTGAAATAGATAATACTAAAATAAATCAACCTTCTTCTTCAACAAATTTCACATATTTCAAATTAATCCAACAATCTTCTAAAAGAATTATTGCTCAACTAAAATCAATTTGTTCAATAGTATTGTCTTATATCCCTCTTCCAATTAAAAGAGGGATTAAAAATCTTTGTACTCCTCCAACTATAGCAACACTACTAGGAATTCTATTAATTTTAATGTACCCTGTTAGAGACCTTTTGTTTAATGATGGTAAATTAGCTGTTATTGGTCGTTCATTAAAATATTTAGGAAGTGCTGCAGTAATAAGCGCATTATTTATTTTAGGAGGTAATCTCTCTACTGGCCCAAAAGGTGGTAATATAAAATGGTATGTTATAGTTATTGCTTTATTTGTTAGAATGGTTGTTGTGCCAGTTATTTGTATTGGAATTCATTTTACATTATGGTGGTATAATATTATTCCATCTGACCCTATGTATTTTTTTGTTGTATGCATTGAATCTTGCACTCCACCAGCATTAAATAGTGCTATTGTTGTTAATATAGTTTATCCTAAAGGAAATGAACAATGTTCATCATTATTGTTCTGGGCATATTTAACAAGTTTATTTACCTTATCTATTGGAATGATTGGGACATTACAATTAATAAGTTATAAGTGTTAATCTCAAGATTTTATTACAATATTTTTTATCTCATTTTTATTTTACGCTAATTTCATCTTAAAACAATACCAAAATGAAAAGATTATATTATTCATATGTAATACAAAATAAATGAAACAAAGAGAACAACTTCATTTACTTAAGCTTTAGTGGTTCTCTTTAAGGCAATTTTTAAATGTCTCATTCTTCCAGTTCCTTGAGTTCTTCTTCTAAGGGCTTTATATCCCCAAGCATATTGTCTCATTTTAGCATCTGGATATCCACATGAAGCACATCTTTGTTTTTGTAAATGCCATGATCTTTTTCCGCATCTTTTGCAAAGAATGTGAGTTTTATTGTGTCTAGTACCTCTGCAGCTAGTTCCCTTAGTCATGCCTTTGGCAATAAAGTTCAGTTCAGGGTTTTACTCTTTCTTTTATAAACTATAATTATATTGTTCTCATATTATCTTTTTATTATATCAATTGTTCATCTTATTTTCTTTTGAAAAGATAATACCATAATATCCTGATTTTATAGGCAAAAAGAATCGAATGATATTTGTATGAAGAAAAAGAAAGAAAAACAAAAAAGGAATTAATAAAATAATTTTTAGGGTTTAAAGAAACTATAGAATAGAGCATCTATGTCAAAGTGTAGACTCCACGTTAATGCTGTTTTCATGGGATTCCAACGTGCCCAAAGAAATCAATACCCAAATGTTGCTCTTCTTCAAATTAGTGGAGTAAATACAAAAGAAGATACTCCATTCTATATTGG